CCCCAACGGTTCGCTCCCCCCAATCTCAAACACCGAGAGGAGGTTGGAAGGTGTGCCATGGGTGGGGAGAGAGTGACATAACTGTAACGAAATTGAAGGATTCCACTAAATGTAAACGAAAACGACCCGCAGACTGCACACCTAGGATAGTCTATGACCCTCTCTTTGTAGACAGAAATCTATCCTTTTGTAAGGGTCCATGAAGGCTCAATATGGCCCAATGTTGCGCAACAACATCCTGATAAATATATACCAGCACCTTCCAACAGGTCTCCTCTGGTGACTTTTGCAGACTCAAAAGTGGCAGGTTGTGACCTGTTGGAGGGTGCTGGTACTGGTGCTGGTATATATACAGCTTCCTATGGACCTCACACCATATCCACATGTCAGCATAGCGTGACCATGACGATGACCCCTAAGTTGGCTCTGGGGCTGACGGTCTATCCACTGCAACTGGCCAACACATCTCCTGGCCAAAATAACATGTTGTTCGACAAACCGTGAGTTGAACATATCTGCAAACTGGTGCAAAATCAGATTTCCTCATGTGGCTGTGGGTCAAAAGCCAGGGTACCTTGGTTGAGGTCGTTCGCTACATGATGGACTGGTCGGGCTCAAGGTCTTCACACATCCCTATTGATCAAAAAACACTGTGAGTCAACCAGCCTTCTGATCCCAGTGTTGATTAAACTCTTGCAGCTCCTTCATGTGCGCCTGCAAGCCAGCACCAGCAGCATGCTGGTCGAGCTTCACAGATCTTGACTTTGTTGCATCAAAATAAAATGTGCTAAAACTAGCTAAAACTTGAGCCCAGACTACCCGATGCTGTGCAAAAACACTGCAATTTGTGGTGGAAGGCAACGTGGCAACGCAATCCATCCCTAAGAACAAAATTCCGGTGTTGCCAAGTGGAACAAATCAATAATATCTCATGACATTCTGTGCTATACCCCTGAGCCATACCCCAAAGGTGCCAGGAATATTGCGGCATTATTGCGCTATGCATTCTTATATTGCTAGAAGTTTGTTAAACTGACGCCCTGTCTCTTTCACATCTCAAGATTCAACTTGAGAACGCCTTCGTCTCTTCTATACTGTGGCATGCCCATGCTTCAAACCCTGCAAAGTCAAACATTTTGAGGTATACCTGGAAAGTTGTCTGTGCCTTGCTAATTCCCTTGTATACCCAACATGTTGATATTGTGTAAATATTGTATAGCACATGATCACATATGCCAGGTAAATTGCTGTAACAATCATACTGGGTCAAATGAATCACGGCTTACTGAATATTGACCACATTTGTGAGGTATATGTACCTGGTACCTGGGGGTTCAAACACAGCATCTCATGAATCATTCTCAACGGATAGAACGTCGTAAATCCACTTCGTGCCATCACAGAGCTGCAGAAAGAATTGGTGGCGTGACTGCCAGGTCCTGTGACGGCCAGATCCTGTTAACTATAAACATCGATGGCTGCTTTGAACCAGCTGACAAGAGGAACTTTCATGATCTTAAGAATTCCAAAAATATTTGCTAGGGCTACTGGGTATACTGCTGTAAAAAGTCCACAAACCCAACGTGACAGTCCGGGGTTGATGGCAAAGATCAGAATCATCCAAAATCCAACATTCCCCTTCATTGAGGCTTCACAATTATTTTGCCAACTAGATCAAACATCATCAAACAAACTAGGTAACTATAGTCTTTTCGTTGCACGAATTCTCACCGCACGATTCGAAACGGCAACGATCCGCACCGTCTCCACACGTTCTCCGCGCGGCCACGTCTCCCCTCGCCTCCTCGACGCCTAAACGCTGCGCCAGCTGGCGCTGTCGAAGCGCCTCGCCGGCCGAGGATAACGGTCACTCACATGGTGAGAAAGCGAGGCGGGCATATTCCAAGTTGAGTCTGAGATTTTCGGGGACTGGTAGATGATGCTACGAGTAGACTTCGGTTGTGTTGGACTTAGTAGGAACATGTTGAACGCTTGACTGTTCAGTAGTTTGTCTTCCGGCTGGCGATGTAGTGCGTGAGCTTTTGGTCAAGCAAGACTCACTCAAAGAAATCTACGGTAACTAAAAGCCACACAATGATCTCCAAACACAAAATGGACAAGCACACCAATGTGCACATTCAGCCCTTCAGCCCTGGAACAGCTGAGTTTGCACGTCTATCGGATGTGCACGTACAACGTGCAGGTCATGGTGTCGCCCATGGTTCACCCATCGTCGCCGGTTTCCAACGCCGAACATGGCCACAACTGATCGGATCGAAAGCACGGCAAAGTACGGGGGGGTTCCCTTCCACCCAAGGGCGGACATGAGTCCAACTTGTATAATAATGTATAATATATGATATCTTACTGATCATAACATTGACGCTTGTCAAAAACGAGGGTTGCGTTTCTTGATGTTGCAAATGATTGCAATCCTTTTCGCCCTAGAATCCTGCACTCTGATACCTTTGAAGGTGCGCATGGTCGACATCTTTTTGCTAATTTTATATCAACTCAATGGATTTGTTTGAGGAAGCCACGGATTTCGCTGGTTCGTCATTTTCGAAGAGTCCGTTGCGAAAGAAAGAAACCAGGAATTGCAAGACCCAAAACCATAGGTTTCCCGTATATCTTGCCTTAAACCAAACCATGGGATTTAAACGGTCCATACATCAATTCCATACCGGCCTTCCTGTCCGATCTGCGGTGGGCCGGCGGGAAGATGAAGACAGTAAACAAGAATAAATAAACATAATTGGCTGCCTGAAGTATTACTGTATATTTTGTTCTAAATATGTTTATTATGTTTCTCATTACAGTATACATGGCCTGGCGGGTTCGAGGGTTCCCTTCTCCATCTATCTGGTCAAAGAGTTGTTCTGCAGGACGACGCATCTACAAAAAGGACACATCCCAATTTGGAGCTTTCCCGAAGATGTTCAGTTCAAAAACAACGAAAGAACAACTCACACTCCGACACTGCCTCTTTGCGCTTGGCATCTGCTTTCTCTTGCAGCAAATCCAAGCGCATCCTCGGCCACCCAAAGCTGCGTTCGTCGTTTTTGGTTGCAACACCGGGTAAGGATACTGACCCAAAAGGCTTGGGTGGTCTGCTAACACACACCTCCCAGGCTACACACCTCAGGGTGTCTACTAATGCTCCTTAAGCCGGTTAAGGGGGGGTCCGTTAACCAAGCGCTGGCAGACCTACGTTTTCGGTACAACAAATTCGTTCATGTGCGATAGTCTGGCTTGAAGGATCTTCACAACTGCATTTAAGTCCTTCTGCATGGTAAGTCCTTCTGCCGCATCATAAGAGAAAACGTGGACAAAAGTGGCAAGCCTGAGCAAATCAGGCTGGCGAGCACACTCTGGGCACACCAACTTCACTTGCTCGGCATCTTCGTACTTCCCCTGTCAGTTCAACTTGGAGGATAGCTTCCCAGCATGGCTTCCAAAGGTTGGCTTCCCCTGCCTTCCGAAGTTCACAAAACCCCTTCCGAGGCTGTGCTTTTCAAACACTGTCCCCAGCATCTGAAACAAAGTGTCGAGTTTGCGTCATCTACAACTCAGAACCCAAATCTGTGAGATCATTCTGCAAGACGAGTCTGAGTCTTTTCTATTACTTAGTGCCAATGCACTAAAGAATAACAAACTGTCACAACAATCCAGCCAAGACATGACCGTGAACTCGCCCAATGTGAAAAACGTTCGCCGGTGACTGGGCGGTGATGACCGGTGATCCAGTGCCTCGAGCTCAAACTGCTTGCGCTGTTGATCCAGCGCCTGCACGGTCTGGGTTCGGAAGCGATCGATCAAGGATCCACTCATGGGAAACAAAAACACGGAGGGGACGGGCGTTGCCAACACGGATTTCTGATTGGAACTGAATGGAACTGAACGAATCCACTCAAATGCGAATGCATGGATGTTCACGGATTTTCGCTGATCCGAGAACGTCGGGTGGTGCCTCTGCACAGGCGTCGAGGTCTCCCTCATCACTGAGTTGTTCCGCCTGGAAAAAGCGACTCACCGCGGGAGGGTGCGACTCTGGTGGTTGAGCGGAGTGCTGGCGACTCGTCAAGGAGGAGCCATGGGTGTTGCGACTCTGTCGCCAGACTGTGGGGCATACATGACAGGAGTCAAACTGTTGCCAAACTGTTCTAGATTCTAGATTCTAGTCCATGCATGAAAAGGAGAGTGCGCTTCCTGTCATCTATGTGCCGTTCTCGTCCCATGTTCCACTCCACACGACCAGCCACCCCACCAGCCTCCGCCATCGCGCGCCTACAACTCATACGCCAAAGCTGAGGCAACTTTTCGAACCCTGAAGGTGTCACGGACTTCCTCTCATTGGACTTGGCCACAAGATCAGGAACCTTTGCAACCCCTTTAAGAAGTCTTTGCTTTTTGTTCATTCATTGATTCATGTACACGAGGTCTTCAGATCATACTCTTTTGCATTCTTTTTCCAGACGGGCTATCCCGCAAGTTCATGGAAGTACCTTCCCTGAAACAATCCAGGAAGTGTAAAATGACCTCTGGAAAGAACATGTTCCTCTACAAACAGGGCATTGTCCACTTCCATGTTTGATGGAGGGGTATGAAAAGGATCTCTGTCTTGACTCTTGACGACGCCTTTTCTCGCCCTCGCCGTCGCCCGAGGAATTCTCAGGCATCGCCGTCGATTTCACAGTGCTGAGGTTTCCACGTGGATCGCCGGGTTTCAGAGTAGATGGCACAAACACCAAAATGTCTTGTAGATGGAGGTCCATACAAACCACCAACCTTGGGGATTGTCAAATCTACTCTGAAACCACCGTTGAAAACTGAAGAAAAACATCCAACACCATGACCAGAATCTTCCCAGCAACCTCTTCGGGATGTTTTTCAGACATTGCTTTCGTGACCAAACTTGAAGATCTATGTGTAAGACATTGCAAGTTCGGTCAAACCATTCAGCACGCTCAAGCACTGGAAATGGAAATGGAAGTTCGGTCACTGGGATCTCATCTCAAGTTCGGTCACTGGGAAGGTCCTAAAAAGGTCACGCCGCACATCTTGACTTCTTCGCAGTCTCGGCGCGCGCTAGCATCTTGTCCGCGTCTCCTGTCACGTGAGAGGGCTATGTACCGACACGGCAAAAGCTGAGGGCCCTAACTGGTTGGGAGAATGGCTTGGCAATCACAATGGGCCTTTGAAAATTGAGACTTGCCATTTGCAACTGCCTATGTAGGGAAATCAGGAAACTGCCAACCCAGCTGCAACCAGCAAAGAAAGGGTGCGGAACATCAACGTCCTGACGTTTCCTGACCATGGCCATTGTCATCCATGTTCCTTTTAATTGCATCAAACTGTCTTTGCGAACGACGACGAGTCGAGTTAACTCGTTCGCACCCCCAGGGAGACCTGTTCCCCACGCCTCTGCAGCGGACTGAAGAGTTGTTCCATAAAAAGAACGACAGGACCATGTAGTCAAGTACCATCAAACACTCACAAATCGTAACTCACGATCCAAAACACTGTTCAAATGACGTTTCATGATCGAAGCTCTAGGATGACTCTAGGATGAACACTGAAATCCATTCATTATGAGCCGCTGACATTCTTCCTGCCTCAATGTGCCAGCCCCCTGTCCTCACTTGGAACGAAGGTCACAAGAAAACTGAACATGTCAAGCACTACTGCAAGCTGAGCCCCAGTTCGGCTATACCCAATCAGGACTCCTGGCAACCCACCATACAAACAACCACTTGAACTTGGGATTTGTGAAGGCTTAGGGGCAGTAGTATACCCTCCCAAAACTCACATGCATGGAAGAGCAATAGGGTCCGGAACACTAGTGTCCATGAAAGGAAGGATGGCTTCAACTTCCGCGTTGGTCTGTTGGGTATATATTACATATAATCCGCCGACCCCGTTCTAGTACCCAGAGCGTGAGCGTGAGCGGAACGGGGACGGCGTGTTCCTGAGAATAGTTCGGTATAGGTGTAGCTGGGGCTTGTCCAACAACCGGCGCTTTGCGAAACATCCACAAATTTTTGACATGGTTCATTTTTGAGGTGGAGTGGGGACCGTCAGGTTTTCTCTCTAGGTGCAGGCGGTGTCCAGGCTGGGGTCCCGGGTTCGACTCCCCCTGCGCACCCCCTGGACCTGGTGTGGAAAACATGGCGAACCCAGTCTTGTCTAGTGGTCCCGCGCGCGGGACCAGGCGGAGCCTAGACCTGCGAACGGCTAAAAGGCAGAACAACGAACGCCAAGTAGCACCTCATCAATTCCAATTGCAACTGGTGCTTTTCCAAAATAGAACTGGTGCCTTGAATGCACTGACCGCCTGACACCTTCCTCAACCATTCAGGCTCCACAAAGGGTGGGGTCATTTCCTTGGAGCCATGGGTTGGCGGGAGGTGTCCTCCGAAAGCGAAGCGGAGGAGAATACTGTTATGTGCTCTGGTTGTGCCACCCCAAAGTTTATTGCATAGCCTAGACCTGCCAACGGCTAAAATATTCTAGTACGATTGGGTTGTTGTATTAGTTTCTGATGCTTCGATAGAAAAAACAGGTAGTAGTCAGAAACGGTGGAGGTTGAACGACAGAACAACACCAAGTAGTACCTGCTAAACCCAAAACCTGGAAATAGTTGAGGTAAAGCCAGATTCAGGAGAATATGGAGTGTGCACCGACAAGTTTTGGGGTACCATAGGAATAAGCGTGCGAAAGTGTTCGAGCCCGTAAAAAGCGTAATTTCCAGGTTCGCAGGAGCCGAACCCCCGCGCTCTTCCCTCCGCCCGCGGCCGCTCTGAGATCGGCGGCTGCGGGCGGTAGCCCCTTATATAAAGATAGTATGATAGTATGATATAGTAAGCGCTTTGTCAATCTAACATGGTACCCCCAGTGCTCCCAGTTGAGCGCTGCCGGTTTGAGTAAGTATTGTAGGCCACAAGGTTGTCTTTCCCCACTGGCCCTGCACTATTAAATTTTATAAGGGTCAAGAAGAGCCTATCTGAGCTGGTCACCCCGCACCCAGTCATGACCTTCATCATGGGTGCACCCACGCAGGGTCACCTGCTGCCCAGCAAAATTTACAAACAAGTGTCAGGATAGCAAGAATTGCCAGCCCTTGGTGGCCATCTGGACGGGGCCAACTGTGAGGATTGAACCAAAAAAAGGGGCCTGAGTGAGCAAGCTAATCTGAAGATCCCTGAAGTGGACATGTCCGACCTGTGCCCCCCTACGAAAGCCTCATTTTGGTACACAAACAAGAAGCCCCGACGCAAATCAATCAAACAATGTTCTTCTCAACAACCGCACCACTTCCAAACGGCCATTCTGAGCGGACACCATGAAAATTGTTGCACCATCGAGCTTTGCTGCACTAATGGTGACGCTGGATTTTAATAACCCCTGTGGAACCTTTCTTGTTTGGAGGGCTATCAAAGACTGTAAATCTCTTCATGAGGAACAATTCCACAGACTATATAAATCTCATTAAATCTCTTTATCGCGGGCATTTGGATGGGATGAGCTGGATGAAGCAAAACAGGGATGAGTCAAAGAAGGCAAATGCATCACGCTATTTCGATTGGGATGAGCTGGATCAAGCTGAGAGGATTAGAAAGAAACATACAGAAACATACAATAATGAAGGAAAACACATACCAACAGGTTGTGTATGAACACATTGCGCGACCAAAGCCTACAAGGACATTTCCCGAAGGGACCTGTAAGCACGCTTCCAGCAAGTGAGCAGCACTATAGTACCCCAGCACACCAGCAGCAGCAGAAACCGGAACAAAAAACAGAAACAGCAGCAGCAGCAAAGGCAAATATTATATTCAAGCGCATGAAAACGGCTACTGACACGTGTTGGTCACAAAGCCAAATATCAAGAAAGGGCCGCATAAAATCTTAATGCCTTAACAGGAACGTGCATACCCATCCAACATGTGAGCCTTGCTAACATCAAGGGCCTGACAAATCAACAAACATAGTTTATATCGAATCTAACGTTATCTAACACATTCTTGATTCAACGACATTCTGGAATCAACCATGCCAGCGCCCCTTGATTTTGCTCGGAAAATTACAATATCAAACGGTCTGGGCCGGGGATTCTTGCCACCTCGCGGAATTCCACTCCGAGCGTCTCGCGCAGCCAGTCCGCACTGTGCGGTCTCCGCACTGTCCGTGGTGAGGACGCGCGGCCAGTCCCGGCACCGCGGACCTCTACGGAGTGGTCGCTGCGGTAACGGATCTCCCAGACGGAGCTGCCTGCGGCAGGACGGGTGAGGCGGGCTTCGGTCGAAAGCCCAGATGAGTTTTGGTCGTTGGGGGGGATTCAATTCCAGTTGTAAGTGCTGGAAACATGGTGGCGACCCCTGTTCGAACATATAACAAACAAATGTATAAAGGCTCCCAGCACCAATTCCCTTTATAACGGCAGCAACATATTCTGACATATTGCAAATGAACCGTGGTCAATATGGCTGCAAATGTGTTATTTGCGACAAAGCTGGAGAAACTTGGTGCTGCCGCCAAGCATGTAGTGGTTGGCTTTCATACCCTATCCAAACTTCATGGATCGGATGTCAAACCACCAACCTTCATCAGCCTGCATGGTTGTAGACATCCATGACCAAGGACAAGCCAATCTTTTAGCCATGCGGATCAGCAAATCAAGCTTCAGTTTAAGCCAAGTCGTGTCTCCGACAAGTACACATGGAACATCATGGAACTCTTCTTATTCCATCTTATTCCAACAAACAACTAGTTTTTCGTTGTTTTTTACCCACTCGTCGGTACTGCAGTCTACATGTCTTCTACAGTAGGAAAATGCAGCACATAGACCCAACTTCGCTCGTCCCGTGTCCTTCGCTTTCTCCGGCCTGGTGGCATCTTCAAGAGCGCCCGGACACCGTCCGCCGTGGGTCTGGAGGGTGGAAAGATCTGCGCAACGGTGGCCGTCAGAAAAAGCGCAGCGAACAGGCCCGTGACTGCAGGGTCTCCATTTTGGGAATGTTTGGAAAGCATTCAGCATACAGTTGCCATCACGGTCATAATGCATCATAATGCCAAGTCAACATGACGCTCACAACCAGTCCCTCCCCTCAAAACAAAATCCCAGATGACTCATTGAACCACCCAGCCAGCGCATGGCCGCGCCAATTCCAGACCCCTCAACCCTCCTTCCCCGCCTCGCAGCAAGCACCGCTGGCGAGCTCCACCCAAGCGATCGGTCCCTGGGTTGCAGACGACGCGAGGCGCACTTTGGCACCCCGGCCATGCGTCAAGAGGCGCTCCTCACAGCGGGAGTCTGCGAAGTGTGCGAAATGGAACCGTTCAGCACAAGGGAAGTGGACGGGAAACTCGTGCACATCGGATTCCACTTGCAACGTCTTGCGGGTTGCGGCTTCAAGTGTTGGGCGGGCGAACCCAAGAATCCCGAAACAAATCAAGTACTGCACAAAGGGGCCAGGGCCAAACGCGCTCCTTGCACATCACCCCAAGTTCACTGTACTGAGCGTGTTCTTGCGGACTCCTGAACAGTTTCGAGAACAACAAGAGATGAACGCGGAAAGGCACAAGTTGCGCTGAGAGGAAAGGCACACCTCACCTGCTCTTCAACCCTATCTGCTACATGGCACAAACCAAATTCATCCAGGAGTCACATGGAGTTGGGTGGTGTTTAGTCCCATCCAGTGAGTGGATCATGGGCACCCCGACTACCTCCATGGATCGCACCCCTTTGGAACTGCTGGACTACTATTTTCGCCTACACCGCAAGCAGTTTCTTGGCAAATGGAAGTACAGCTATCATGCCTTCGCGAGCCTTCGCAGGTAACCATCAGGCCTTTAGGGCACGGTGGTTGACTTCGGTCACGACTCCCCGCCTGTTTTCGCCACCCCAATGCAGCAATTCTTTGGCTGTTGGAAGGCCACTTGGCAGTTCTGCTTCCACCATCAACAACACTGTGTCCTGACATGGTCTCCGTGGGACTGTTCTTTTCTCAAGTCCCCGTCCACCATCCAGGCATGCGCATTCCATGTGGATCCATACACTATATAAAGCAACACCTAAACAACTAAAGAGCATCTTCCAATTGGCTTGCCCTTTCCTCACCTCAAGCAGCTGCCCTTTGGTCAACTCCTCAAAGAGGCCCCACACATGGCTGCGGTGAGCTGCCATGAAGCGCGTCTTCTCACAGGCAGAGGCACGTGGTGCGCGTCTTCTCACTCGTGGTGCAAACCTATGTGCAACTGACACCTGTTGGCCTAGGTCGATCGTGTGCGGCCATGAAATGTCATGATTAAACAGAATCCAACCATATAATGATATAATGATATATAATGTTTGTTCAAGGGACAACAACACAGCCGCTAGGCTCTCAGACCCTCGAGCCACTAGGTTGCTTGCTGATGGTTGGATCTAGGTGAAACGAGCATACGAGTCCACCGTGCACAGCTCGACGGACGTTCCACAAAGAAAAACATCTCTGCGTGTGGGTGTGTGTGTGTGCCTTCAAACCTCTGTGTGTGTGTGCTGCTCTGTGTGGCCCAACCTCAGCTGGTCCAATGTAGACAATGTAGACCTGTGATGATGTTCTCAGAGGATTCAACCCCTGTTGGGCGAGTTCGTCAACACGACTACTTTTTTCACAATCGTTCTGAAAAAAACGGAGCCCACCTCGCTGCCGCTGGGCCCTGCCTGTGAGCAATCACTGGGGGAACAAAATAAGCGGGCCCAGCGGGGGCATGATAAAAGGAACAATACCCAAACACTCCATGTCTTATATATGCCTACATTGACCCCTCAAACCACCCCAACTGATCGGTACATATGCCAGTCATTGGTCGTGTCTGGCAGATGTGACCTCTGAAAACCCCCGCAAAACGTGGGATCTTCTACCCGAATCCCAACGAACCCGACACCGAAACGCGTCGGACACCAAACCAAGCCCGAACGCCATTGGAGAAGGGCCCGGATTCTTAGGGTAAACAAAAGCTTGGTATACCCTGTTCCCTTCTGCCATTCACCGGGTCATCTCTGGTCGGGTCTTTCCGGGGAAGGATGGTGTTTCGGGACTGCGAAAAACATCAGGCTAGGATTATGAAGCCCACTTAGCATGAAGCCTTGCTGCTGGAAAAATCCAGAAAATGCATGCATTTTGCCTATTGGAAATGCATGTTGAAATCGCCTGCTGCTCAACATTCAGCTTAATCACTGGCGCTTTACACCATAACCTGGGTGGACAGTTTGCCAATGGGCATCTAGAATCTAGCCGCTAAGATAAGAAACAAAGAGTAAACACACTTACATATATACATAATATATATATATATATTCACATATATATATAAATACATATTACTATAAAATATTTATATATATACGCATTGTACAATCTTCAAACACTTCTATTTTGAGGGATATGATGGAGTTGTGCCTCTTCTCAATTCGTTTCTCCCCGTCTCAACTCCGCCAGTCGCGACTCTTTTGAAACTTCTGCGCACTGGTGCGGTGAGTTTGCAGCTCCGGTTCCGTTCTGGTCCGGTCGACAGTTCAAAGGCACCCTCGTTGAAGTGCAGTGATAAATCCAAATTCCCACTGGCACGCAAGAACTCTTCAGATGCCTTCGGATTCTCTTGGGAGCTTCCGATCATCCAGCTACCACCACTTTTGAGCTGCGAAGTTACACCATCTGCACATGTGATATATATTATATTGTCTATATACAGGCTCATCTAGCTTGAACTGGGTGTCTTCCAAATTGCAAGTGGGTGTTTGATTTGGAATAGAACCTTGTTGTCAAGTTTCTTGCTGGCTCCGTTAAAAGCATGTAACACAGCCATGTAGTTTATTTGGTCCTGCTTGGGAGCAAAGAGCTCTAAGAATGAGGCAACATCCACATGCGCCGGATACACGCAAGACTGACCTATATATACAGTCATGGAACTTCAAGAACTTAGATTTCTTCGTAGTGGGCAGCCATGCCAGCGTGGAGATATGATGATGATGGAGACGTTACGTGTGAAGAGTCCGCAGAGACCATCTCCTTCCTCTCAACCAAGAACATAATCCACCGCTTCTGGCGCCACAGCCAAGCACCACTATTTCAAAAGTTTTGCGCCACATTTTGATAGAGCTTTCGCTTCAAGATTTTTAAAGCACTTGGATGGAAAACGTGGACCTGTCGGAGTTGCAAAAAGAAAGGCTTGACTTTGACCGGGACGTTGCAACTTCAATAGGTCCAACTCGTACTTCACACTATTTGCCAGATCTTTCTCGACCCTCTGCGGAGTCATGTGTTGACGTAGGTCTGTGCGGCCCCGAGGGTTGCCTGGGCCAGCTGGAAGCACCAACCACTGCGCTTATATGCTGATTGCTCAATATGCCCAGCTCGGACGCGTGAAACTTTCTCGGTTTGACATTTACCTTGTATTGGTGCTCGGGAGCGGAGGGCTCAACGATCTTGGATTGGAAGATTATAATTGGAGCAGTCGGACGCAAACACCTGAAGCTTGTAGGTGAAATGTGCGCCCGAAGCTTCAGTGCCTTGCGCCCGGCCAAGCTCGTTCAATGGGGCCTTGCAGGAATGAATGAGTTGGAGACGGAAAACCCGTCACAATTTTGCCAGCCAAATTGATTTGGCCGGGAAAACCCGTCACGTTTCAGACCCGGGCCCCAGCCCCAAAACCAAAATGTGATGGTTTTTTTTGAAAATCCCGTCGCAATTAAATAAGGAAAACGAAAACCCGTCAAACTTTCCAGCTCATCCCCAACTTCAAAAAGTGATGGGTTTTTCCAAAACCTACTTCGTGACTTTTGGTACTTGAGGCTAGCTGAGGTACATCAAGTGAACTTATTGAACTTATAACATAAGGTACTTATAGCTAGAAATAAGTAGAAACTAAGTAGAAATTAGCTAGAAATAGCTAGAAATAGTTAGAAATTACCTTGAAATACCTAGGAAATAAGTACAACTTAGATATGTCTAAAAAATGTGGTTTCTTATGTTTTAATGTTTTTCCTATGTTTTCGATTTATTACAAAAAGAAAATGTGTTTTCTCTTGAACATATACAAGTTTTATAAAACAATTCTATGCGGCCTAAGGGACGCTCTGATGCAGCAGAGCGGCCGTGAGGCCGCTTTCCTTTTTCTTTCAAGCAGCTAGCCATGTTTTTTTTTTTGCTAAATGGTTTCGACAATTTAGCATAGTATTCTTTATCTTTACCGCCACGGCGGCGTTTTCGGCCTCCACTTCATCAGAAAGATCAGATCCGACTAGATCTCTATTAGAAAAATTGAGCCAAACTTCAATACATCATCCAAATTATGGTTTCAATCTATGATTGAAATTTTACAAGAACTATATATTTAGACATAAAATATTGATTGTTCTTCTTGATTGAAAATGAATGTATTGGAATGTATCGGAATGTATCGGGTCATCCTGGGGAGTATGAAAAGTAAAGCCAATACATTCCGATACATTCCAAT